TACAGCTTTGGTAACTCTTCTCTAACCATGAATACCAGAGTCTAATGGTAGAGCTGAGCCAAGCACACTTGTGAATGATTGTGCAGTGTAGTTTGTCCTTAACTACAACTCTTTGTACACCTTTCCTGTGCTTATTGGTAAAGTCTCTTGACATTTGAAAAAAGACATTGAGAATTGTTTCTGGAACTGCAGTTTTAAAGTATGGTTCCCGTGGAAGAGATGCGTCATCAGCTGTTGTCAGGTAATGTTCACAGGTGCTCCATAGTCCTGACTAATAAGCAGGGAGTCCTTTGAGGCCTTAGGTTAGGCTTTGTTGCCAGACTGGGTGGAGGGCACAGAGAGAGGTTCTACAGGTTAAGACTTCTCGTTATATGTGAAACATTTTTATAAAAGGAGTGTGGGAATCACTTTAAATTAACATTGAGAGAAATATCTTCTTTGTATTTCAGTGGGAACCTAAAAGTCTGTGGTCATCCATGCCATCCTAAGACATTTCTTAGAGAGGTCAGGAGTAACTACATGGGGATTTTAAAATTAAAATGTAAAAGAGAATTATATTAATAAGCTCTGCCTTTTTGCTCCATAAAGTATAGAAATTTGCTCCTTCTTTTGTAGTGGCATTTCATTTGTATTTTAATAAATAAAGCTTGCCTGAGGATCAGAAAAGTAAAACAGCCCCACTGGCCAGCCTTACAGACCAGGCAGCAATGACACACACCTTTAATCCCAGCAGCCACTAGTTTCTATAGACCAGGTGGTAGTGGTGCATACCCTTAATCCAAGAACTAGAGAGGGCTATAAAATGGGAGGAGACAGCTCTCAATCTCAGTCTCATTCTGAGATTCCTGAAGTCAGGATCACCGTTTCTGACTGAGTTAGAGGTAAGAGCCAGTAGCTGGCTGCCTTGCTTTTCTGACCTTCAGGTTAGCTTTATTTATTAAAATACAAATGAAATGCCACTACATTGTATAAAGTGTAAAATGGCCATTACTGATGCTAGCTAGTGTCAATGCAATTATTCTTGATATAAAAGTGTATGCTATGCTTTCTTTCTCTCTATTCTGAAGTAGTTACAGGGTTTCTACCATGAGAACTCTGATAGCCACTGGTCCCAAGAATCACTGAGTATTGGGAAGGAGTTGGCTTCTCTTTGTGTATGTGGAGGGGTACACATTTTAGTAGTGGTATACAAGGTGATGCTGAGATCTCTCCATTGAGGTGGAGGCCAAGTTTCTGTTTGTGTGCACATACATGGAGGCCAGATGAGGCTATGTGTTGTCCTTTGACTTCTTTGAGGCAGTTTATTTCTGAATCTATAGCTAATGGGTTTTTGCTAGGCTGACAACCTGAAAGCCCCAGTGATCCTATCTCTTCCCACTTCTAGTGCTGGGGTTGCAAGTATATTACATACTTGTAACATGCTTGGTTTGTTATGTGGTGCTAGGACCCAAACTCAGGTCTTTGCAGATGCACTGTAAACACCATCTCTCTAGCCCTAAATTGGGCAACTCTGTCAGCCTTGGGGCTGGATAAGCATGAGGTTCAAACAAGGTGAATCATCCATGGCAGTTGGTACCTAGAAACCTAGACAGTTTCTGTCCAAACACTGCAGAGGCATAGCATTCTGCCTGAGGGTATTTAAGCCAAATAAAATCACTTTTAAAAAATAAAATCTTTGCTTTTCTCATTCATACCTCTTGATCTTTTCATCTAGGGTAGAGGAGGCCATACAGTGAGGCTTATATTCCTAGCATCGATAGCATCTATGGACTGCAGGCAGGCGTGGTATGCAAGATGATCCTGGCATTTTTTTCTCCATTGAACTAGAGGCCAAGTTTCAGTTTAAGTCCAGGTACCAGGGTGCCTTTTTCAATTGTTTCAGACTGCGGTAGTCTGTTGTACCAGGAGAATTGAGACAAGCGACCAACCCCAGGGCTTATGAGCCCTACTTTGTATCCATTTGTTAAGTCTGTGACAACTGGTTATTGAGTGGCAGCTTTTTAGCATGGTTTGTTGTATGTTGTCATATTCCGCCTCCCTCACCTCCCCATTGCTTAACCAGATTTTGCCTCTGTGAAAAAAGACAGGTAATGATTAGCTACCCTTTTTCTGCAGACACATCGACACTGAGAAACAGCTTGGTACAGAACAGTTGTTCATCTTACTTCTGTCTTAAATACCTATTCAAGTTTTCCTGCCAGCACTTGCAGATTTCAGGGGGAAATCAGAAACAAAAGAGACATTTGTTTTTTTACAGTATACACAATTTTAATAACAAAACTTTCCTGTACACTGTATTACGGTTTTCCCAACCCGATTCCTTGTATAATAGTATTTTCTTCCTATCCCCCAATGCCCCACCCCCCCATGGCTCTTAAAAGTAATTGAACAGATATGTTTGGACTGTACTTTGAGTTTCCAGTCTCAGTGTTCATAGGTTCCATGTAGCATACTGATTTTAAAAACTCAAGGGAAGAAAAGGTTAGTTGAAGGAGTTGGAGACGTTTTCAGATGTCTACAATAGTAGAATAAGAAAGCATCTGTGGTCATTTTCTGGTTTTTTTCAAGCGCTGTGAGTTTGCTCCAGGTTAGCTAAAGAAATCCTTATTATCTATAGGTGGCCCATGTTGTCTTTGAAAAAAAAATCTTTTCTGGTTCAAGCACTTTAACTGAGAAGCTATGAAAATTTTGTTCCAAACAGACTTGATTGCTTGATGTCCCTGGATTGCTGCATTAGGAAAATTATCATGTAAGTTTGTTGTTAAAATATTCTTTGAAAGTACCTATGAGAGAGAGAGAGAGAGAGAGAGAGAGAGAGAGAATTTATAGCCCCACTCCCCTACACAGCTATGTGTGGGAAGTGTGGCTCAAGAAAATAATAAGACTATTTCATATTTTAGAATTCAGACCAGTGCTACATAGCGCTTGCTTTTATTGGAAAGATGGGGTCTAGCTTTTAGTGACTAGCATTATAATAAGCAGATGGACTTTAATAATTAGTGAGTAGAATTAGGAAGTTCAGTCAATTCCATTCATTGAATTGGTACAGAAATTAACTTAGACTCATTAAGAAATTATATGTGATAATACAATTATTTGGCTTAAAAATTAGTGTCTGTTTTTTGATGCTGGCAGTAAGTATTATGAGTTTTGAATGGATTTTCAGATTTACCAGCTCACTTTCTTTTCAGAAAGGTAAACTAGAATTTCCTGTAGGCTACAGAAATGAGTCACCATAGTTGCAAACTTGTTCTTAGTTCCTAGGTAGATATTTCATTTTTCTAATTCTCAATGATCATTTTACACTAACTGTTAAAATTGAGGAGAGGGAAAGGTGTGTTGTTAATGGTTAAGAGAATCAAACCCCACCCAAAAGCCCTCACATTTATGACTTAGAAACTATGAATGGTTTTGCTGTGAGGCAGTTCTTCTCTGGCCAGTTGGTAGCACAGATACTGCAGTACAAATACATGTTAGGTAAATGGAACCCTGCTTTCTGGAGGCAATTAGAAATGACAATTTGTGCTTTAAGTAAGAAAGGAAAATACCTGGTTGGCATTGCCTTTACCAAAACCATGGAAGGAAAAACAAACGAACAGTGTGTGCCTCCCCTCCCCCACCATAGTATGCCTTGGTGGCTTTGGCACTGCTCTCAGGTGCTAAATGGTTTGCTCTGCTACATATACTTCATTAACTATGTCCTTTAGAGTCAGTTGGAGTTCCTAGTTATATTGCTTACTTTTTAACTCACAATTTGAATTGATTTTGGTTATCATTTGAAATGATGAAAAACCATTCATCCTTTAGGGCCAGTGGAGTCTTATATGCTCAAAGCTGCTGCTGTGGACAAGCTGTCTATCACCTGATAAATGGCAGTGGTCGCCATCATACAGTTGGTAAATTCTTCCCCATCTCAGTGGGGAAACAGTGTGCTGTGCTCTGTTCCGGAAAACCAGCATCTGTCTTGGCTCAGACAAGCCCAGCGTCTGGGTTATCAGGAGATGAAATGCTTGCTTGCCACTCAAGATCAACTGAATTGAACTGCTCTGAGGCTTTGCCAAACTAATCTACCCACCTTAAGTACATAAAGAACACATATTTTCACTATAACCTGAATATTGTTTGCTTTTTGCTAAGAGATTTGAAATGTGGGTGGTTTTTTTTTTTCTGTGCTAAAAGAGGAAAATTGTGATTGAATCTAGGTCTATAGTAACATTTCAGTTCAATCTTGGGGAGGAAATAAGCTTTGAGCGAAGAATATAGTGATAAACATCCATGTTAAGGAAAGGATGCCTTCCTTTTTTATGTTAGTGCCTTTCTTTAAGCATTTATACATTTTTTTCCACATACGAATGGTTGTGTTTTTTTCCTGAAATCAAATTGATGCTTTAATTTCAGTTTTCTCCTATATGTGGAACCTTCTTTGTAGAAAAATTCTACATGAATTGGTATCTTGAGTCTAAATCCTCAGTATGCCATCTCTTGCTTTAAAGAAGTCATAATTGAACACTTGTGTTTCTTTCCTTCATGAAAAAAATGTGGCATCATTGTCATTTGTTATTATGATGAGAGCATCCGTACTTACACCAAGAGCCTCCTTTAGTATCATACAGGTCCCTGAGCGTCGCTTATTTGGTGCAAACTGTACATGATAACATTTGCTGCTTCATAGCTTCCACTAACCTGAGAGTCGGGCTTTCAGAATCTTTCTTTGCTGTCTGACTTTCCTTACTGTTGTGTGGCTGCAGGGCCTGTATCAAGAGTTCTGCCTTAGGACTTGCCTCGGAAATAGGTTAGTTTTGTCTCAAAAGGAGCTGACAATATAAATGTGTATCTTTATTAAAGGTCAAACTTTAACATCATATTTTGAAATTAATTCTTCATTGTTTCTTTATAATGTAACAAGAATCAGCGTTAGGCATCTTTAGTACCCAATTATTTTTAATTTGGGTCTTTGAAGTTTAAAGATCAGAAAAAGACAGAAGGAAGAAGCTTAAACAGTTTGTCAAGGCATCTTTAATCATGAGAGGGGCTGTCTTTTCAAACCGGATGGAGTATATCAGGATTGTTAAGTTGACTCAGTTTTTCTCTTTCCAAAATGCAGGTTTTCACATAAGTTTAGCATTTAGTAAGTTAATTAGTAAAATGATAATTTAATACTAGTTTAAAATAATAGTCTAAATGCCACAAAAATCAGCATGTCCATTATAAGTTAAACTAGAGTTGTATAAGAAGTCAGTGTAATTATTTAGTATTGATTTATTATAATGAGACCTTTTAAAATAATTGCTTGGATTTATTGTTGAAAATTAAAGAGTCACCCGGTTTTATTAGAGTTATGTAAAAGGTGCTGGTTTCATGATGTAACTTAGATAATATCTATTAAACCAGGCCAAACTCTGAAAGAATAATGTTTAATATTTACCAGTCTTAAGCACACATGTAAGTCTACTTCTTCTCATACTGGCAGTAAATTATAGGTTGAGTAAATACCACTTTATCTTACAAGAGAACTTTTGCTGTCTCCTTTTAAGCAGGAAGCCAGTTGTGGTCCATGGGATGGAGGATAATAATCAAACAGGTTTTCATCCCTATCTATTTTTGTTTAGTAGCTTCTTTCGGAACTGTTTTCAGTAGAAAAAAAATAACATATGGAGGAGACCTTAGTGTAAATGTTTACATACAATAGTATATAATTACATACATGAAATGTTTTATATTGAATTAAGCATTTAGATTTTCCAACAAGAGTGCAAATTAATATGAGCATTGCTTCATTTAACACTTAAAATATGTTTTCATTAAAAAAATTAAAAATACTTCAACACTTCAAAAACTCAAGTCTCCACTTGATTTGGAAAATTAGGCTTAATGTCACCATTGGTAAAAATTAGATATGTATTTAGCCCCTACTATGTAAAATAGGTTACTTATCTGATGTGATTTTTGATGATGAGTAGATATTATACTTCACATTCTTTGTATGGCAGCTGCTGACACTTGCACTGTCCATAACCATTAATGATGATGAAAGGTCCTTCATGGGTGGGCTCATACTCATTATACGGTCCTTGGTCTGACATGTTTGACATATGGAGTCGTGTTTGGGATCGGAGCTGCCTGTGGTTCTGAATCATTGAGCACTGTCTGATTCTTCTTAAAGTGGGAGGGCAGCACTTCCTGGAAATGAACACTATAAAAATAATAAAAAAGAAAGAAAACAATAAAGCCATTGTTCCCGTAATTACTCGCTGAGTGAAGATGGCATTGTCTGGTTCGGAAAAGTGTTCCTCTGTAGTAACTGCTATGCCTGCAGTAGTTGGAATTTCTTTGTCTCCTACATGGTAACTCGATGAGCTGATTCTTTTTGTATATTCAGTGGTTGGATCTCTGTAAGTTGTAGCCATGGCAGTGACAGTGGTTGATAAATTCCAGCAGAGCTGAAACCCGTGGACCGCATCTAGAATATCCTCTCCCTGGGTGTGGTCAGGGCTGTGGCATAGGATGGAATGCTCCCACCGACCTTGGAAACTGCCCAGCCAGGAGGCGAGAGCACACACTCGGGGGCTGCATTCCCACAGATTGCCAGAGAGGCCAACGGTTGTGAGGGATCTCAGGGAGTTTAAGATTTTGGAATCAAGACTGTTTAACTTGTTGTTATCCAGGAGGAGTATTTTAAGATTAGGCATGGTTTCAAACACCGTTAAGTCGATGGCTTTGATTTCATTTCCAGTTAGGTCTAGCTTTTCTAAAGTGCTCCAGGTCCATTCCATCCCACATGTCAAGTTGCTGATTTTGTTCCATTGTAAGAAGAGTGTGTGCAGACTGCTTAGCCGGAGGAAATGAGCAAAATTAATCTTTGTCAGCTGGTTGTGCTCTAGGTGAAGCTCTCTTAGTTTGATTAATCCTGCAAATCCATTGCGAGCCAAACTTCGCAAACGGTTTGTGCTCAAATCCAGAAACTCTAGACTACGACAGTCCCAGAACAGGCGTACTGGGATAGTCCGCAGGGAGTTGGAACGCAAATGCAAGGTCTGCAGCTTCCGAAGGCCATAGAAGAGCTCAGGATGCAGAGATGACAGCTGATTAAAAGACAGGTCCAAATTTTGCAGGTTAATCAGTTGGGTAAAAGTTGTGTTTGGCAAGTAAAATATTTTGTTGGAACTTAAGATTAACTCCTTAAGTTTATATAGTCCTTGGAAAGCATCTTCTTTTACAGTTGAAATTTGATTGTGATCTAAGTGGAGCCAGGTGAGTTGACTGAAGCTGGCAAATTGATCTCTTTCAAGCGCTGTGATGTGATTGTGCCTCAGGGACAGGCCCAGAGAACCCTTGTCTGTGGCGTTTGGCACTGAATGGAAGCCCTGAGAGTCGCAGTAGAATAGCAGCTTCTCACAGCGGCATTTGGGTGGACACGCCATACCCAGGGCAGGCAGCATTTTTAAAACCACACTCATTGCATATATTGCTGCCAGCATAGGGGCCCCTAATGGCCACTTGAAATGTAAGCCTGCAGAATATAATTTAAGGAAAACAAGAAGATAGGATATGTTTCAGCAGAACACAGGGGCTGTTGAAAACAACAACAATGTAACATCATAATGAAAGATTTCACTGCATGGAACATTTTTCATTTACTGCAGAAAAATTAACCTTGTATACTGGAACACAAAACTTAAACCATGTATAAAGGAGATTAAAACATGTTCCTTTCCTTAGTGTTTTATGCCTTTACATAAATTTTAAAATCCGAAAACAAGTGATTTGCATCATAAAATGGGAATTCACCAGCTTAGTTTATAAAAGCGTGAATCCTCTTTGATTGTAAAAGAAATGCCATAGAAATGCATGGACTTACCCATTCTTCTGAGCACATTGGAGGCTGCATTCAGTCGAGGTTGTCAGACTCAACGCAGTGAGTCTGTAAAAGGCTCTAACATGCAGGAGCCTTTGACCGGTTTCCTGTTTTCTGTGTCCCAGGATTTCCAAGTAAAATTCAAATCTGCCAGGGTGAATTGGTTTTTCCTTAGGATATTCCTCTAGATAGCATTGGTTTCATTTTCTGTGGTGCTCTGATCCCCTAAATCAGCTTTGATTATCAGTTAATAATTTCCTCCTCCTCTGATTACTGCTGGTCGCCGGAGCTTCAGGCTCTCCTTACCGCAGCTGTTAGTTCTCTCGGTCTTAACTTGTTGATGGCAGATGGGCGGCTTGTCGCGGAGAAGAGCCTCTGGAGCAGCATGAGTGCATTTACTGAAAAGCTTTTCCGAGAAACGGCACAAGAATGGATTTGCTTATGTGCTGCGACCACACAGAACTGTATATAGGCTGACGTCACCGGGTGACGTGTCTTTTGTTTGGGTTTTCCAGAAGCTTTACTGTTAAAAAGCACTGTGCTTTGTACCAGTGTCAGGGTCGTTACAAGACCCCCTGTTTACAATAAATTGAGAAAGAAGAACTCCCGACTTAAGAATTTGGTATTCCTTCAGTGTAGGAAGCAACAATGAGGTTGTAATAAATGCTGCATTCAAGAAGACCCATCTGAACAGTGAGTTGGACTAGCAGAGTGATGATTTCTAATGCGTGTGAGAGCTAGTGTTAGACTGCCGATTCTGCATAGAGATCATCTAAATGGGCACGATTGATTTATGAAGTGCTGATTTAATGCCAGCCTATGCAAGGTACGCTTCTGCTCTGGTAGTTTGCAAAGCTGTTCAATTGCCTTGTTGTCATGCTTGGTAAAAAGCAAAGTATGACTCTGTTGCTAAACTAAATGGGCTTAGTTTTATTGTCATTAAGAATTTAACATTATAAAGCCAGAAAAAAGAGGGTAGCTTCCAAAAGAAGTCATTTTGGCTTTTTTCCTCCATTCAGAATTTCAAGGGAATAATTCTTTTCTGCTTATTATATAACAATACTTTATTACCACACTGATTGGAAAACAGTGCTGAGTTGATCTTTGAATATCCTACCAGAAGAGAGGAGCAGATTGACACCATCATTTTTTATACAGGTGACCCAGATGTTAGCAATTTTGAACAAGTTTTGTAGTGGGCCTGGATTCTGACACAGTCTTCAGAATTTCTGCTTCAACATCTCACCTGTTCCTTAACTGAAAGCCACAGTTGCTACTGAGATTGGGGTGTTGTAACACCAAAATTTTGAATCTCATAGCAGCTCTTGTTGAATTCCGCTTATGAATATGAAAGGGCGTTTATATTGGAATAGGATTTTGTTGATTGTTTTTGCTTGACAACTCTAGCTTTTCCTGTTAGATAACTTTTCAGACATGAATGTTTATGGTTAGTGTTATATAAATGCATGAGATGTGTCTAGCATGAATCGGGGATATGTTGCAGGCCAGACTAAAGGATTGCCTTTTACATAACTTATCTTGCTGATGTGGCTATATGAACTTAGTTTTCCCCTTACCATTACTACTTACCCTTAGTGAGTCCTGTTTCAAACCCAAGAGTAGAAATCTCAAAAGTATTGATGATGTCCGTGAAATAAGCACATGACTGGCCTGTGGTCTTCTGAGGATTTCATTCCACTGGTGAATTCTAAGAAGTCTTTATGTAAAGAGGAGAATTTTCCTACTGGAGTAGGGCTACTCTGGTAACAACTGGAATCCTATTAGTCTCTTACTTGGGGTCATGTGTAAAGGTTTTGTGGAAACTCTAGTAATGCAAATATATAATTTTAACCTTTTCTACAAGTGACCCCAAGGTGGGTTTAGAAGTGTAAGACTTTGTTGAATGCAGCGAATGCCTAGACTGCATGAGAGAGAAGGTAGCAGCAATCCTTTGAGGGATAAGTAAAGTTCTTATGGCACATCTGACACTGGTAAAGGAACAGTTGTGTAGACACTGTCAGACTGGGATGCACTACAGTCCTCACTGAATGAGCTTTGCGTCACAGTTATGTGTACTACCGTGATGTTGATCCTCCCTGTGATACCTTCCTGTACTCTGGTGCTTATTAATCTTGGTCTTTGTGTAGATGGGACTATGAAGTGTTATTACCTGTTGGTTTTTTTGTAGATACATTTTAATCAGATCCTACTGAGTTTGTGAATCTAGGTTTTAGAAACACTGTTCACTATGAGCTTGGCCCTAAAAGTTGCAAGGCATCATAATTAGTTGAAAGGAAGCCCTTATGATGTTGTTAGTATCTTTCTGAAGTCAGCCACATTCTGATGAAAAATAACCTTTCTAATGTAGAAGCTGTTTAATTCTTACTAACTGCCTTAGTTGTAGGAAAAATGTGAGTTAGTTGGATTAGATCAGCCATTATTAGGAATGAGTTGTATGTAAAAACTGAAGGGAAAGCGTTTCCTTCCTCTTAAACTCTTAGAACATTTAGTTCCTTTCTGATTTTTAGTCTGTTTGACCCCCTGTTAATTTATTAGTAAAGTGAAACTATTTAGATTATACCATTGCCTACTGATTTACCTAGTGAACTGAAACTTCAAATTATATTGTCTCTGCTGTTCTGTCAACTTCTGAGGGAGGGCGGTTGCTCAGATGTGCAGTGGAAAGAAGTCGTGCTTTTTTTTTTTTTTTTGTAAGAGACAAATCTTTTGCCTCAGCCTCCTAAATAGCTGGTGTTACAGGAGCCTGCTACAACTCTGAAGGGGTGGGCATTTCTACTTTTTCCATCAGAGTGACTGAGGACACAGCCTTTCCCAACTCGGCAATTATTTTTTCTTACTTGTCTACTTTTTGGGTTTTGAAGGCCGAGGCTGTGGCCAAAAGACAGAGTATTTACCTTAAAATTGGTGTATGTGGCAGGTGGTGGCAGCACACGTCTTTAATCCCAGCTCTCAGGAGGCAGAAGTAGGTGGATTTCTGTGAGTTTTGAGGCCAGCCAGGACTACACAGAGAGAAACACTGTCTCAAAAAAATAAACAAGCAAAAGACATATACACACACACACACACACACATACATGTATATGTACACACAGGTTTCATTGATAATTTCATTCATATTTCCTCCCTGAGTCTCAGTCTTTAAATTTTTTTTACTTTTATCTGTACCAGTGTTCTGCCTATGTGTGTGTGTGTATGAGAGAGAGAGAGAAAGAGAGAGAAAGAGAGAGAGAGAGAGAGAGAGAGAGAGAGAGAGAGAGAGAGAGAATGAGAATGAGAATGAATCCAAGCATGCTTTGTTCCTGAAAAGGTCAGAAGAGGGTATCAGATCCCCTGGAACTGGAGTTACAGGTGGTTATCCACTGCCATGTAGGTTCTTGGAACCAAATTCAGGTCCTCTGCAAAGAACTAGTGAACTACTGAGCCATCTCCATCTCCACTGTTTTTTCTGAACTAGACTTTCTTCTTGACATTTAATGCTTTATTCCACATAGAAATGCTTTTGACTTAAAGTGGCAGTATCGCTTCTGGAAGATGGTGTTTGTGTACATACCACTTCAGGGCAGAGGAGGCAGAAATTAACCCAACTCTCCCTATAAAATAGTTTTAAGGAAATTCAGCAAGTGGTGGTTATACTTACTTGCATTCTTCTATGTGAGAGTTTGTGATTAGAGAGTTACTTTCCAACTTGGAGTGACATATAGACATGTAGGTGAAATTTTTATCCTTTCCTGGTAGACAATGAGCTTTGCACACACACCTGTTTAATTGTGCCTATTTTAGGTTTCTGTTGCTGTAAAGACCAAGAGAGGTTGTGCTATAGGCTGTGGGATCACTATGAAGGAATAGGAACTTGGAACTTAGAGTTGAGGTTGACCAGTGGAAGTTTCCAGAAGGAGATGACTCTTATCCCAAGGAAAGATAGAAATCAGAATACATTAGGTGAGAGAGACCATGACAAATTTGGAGAACCAGAACAGATATGGATAGCTGATAGTATGGAGAATGGCTAGGTGATCTTAGTTGGCAAAGTAATGGAAATGGCAGACTCCTCCAGGGATTGTATGTAGAATAAGAAGGTGAAAACTTCTGGCAGAAAAGCCTTAAGACCATTATAGATTCTTTACCTTGGAATGTTTCCCCTGCCAACAGAGTGTTGTTTGTAGTTAGGTTGGGTAAATTTTTTATAGATTTGTTTTGAAATTTAGAGGCCAAACTGTGCTTTGAGGTGCCACCAACAATGTCAAAGCCTTTGTTTTTGCCTTTGTGGCTGTTATATTTTCCATCCATTCCATATCAAGAATGGAGTTGATATCTGCTGGGTGGTAGTGGTGCACACCTTTAATCCCAGCACTTAGGAGGCAAAGGCAGGTGAGTTTGAGAGCTAGTTCCAGGAAAACTAGGGCTACATAGAGACACTCTGTCTCGAAAAACTGGGATGGGGGGTGGAGTAGAGAAGTATGTAACTTTTTCCTTTATATAGTTTTCCTTTATACTCTGATGTGGTATTTTGTCATTAGGAATACCTGTCATAACACTCCATGATACTGCATATTGTTGAATTAGGTATTGCTCTGAATTATTATTGTTGTTGCTATTATTATTAATTGTGAGGCTGGGTCTCATTATATACCTTTAAATGTCCTGAAACTAAATATGTAGACCAGACTGGCCTGGAATTCACAGAGATCTGCCTGCCTGCTGAGTACTAAGATTAAAGGCATGTACCACCATGCCCAGCCTGCTCTGAATGATTTTAGATTCTAAGACTTCTGTGGAAAGAATTGTGGTTAGTTCTGCCCATTTTAAGTGTATGGAATAGGCATGGGGGTTTGTCTACATAAATAGTAGTCTGTTCCATAGGAGGAAGGTCTAGCAGCTTCTCTGATGAGATGAGAATTCCTAATTCCAGAATTGTACTATTAGAGACTGACCCAGCTAGAAACCTTTGCCTCTCTTCACCTTAGCTGGTATTTGCTTCCTGGAGGGAAGCTTTATCGTGAAATATTCCTTACTGTTTTCTGAGGGAACCCTTTGCCACTGCTAAACAGTGGCATATCAAAATGAAGCAAACACTCAGGGTCTCCATGCTGTGGAACACAGTTAGGTGAGAGCTCAAGATTGCTTACTTTAGTTTCTTTGTTCTGATAAAAGGTACACAAGTTCAACATCCTTAATCTGAAAACTTTAAATCCTCCAGATCCCTAAAGTTTTTTGTAAAAAGTCTATACAAATATTCCAAAATCTAAAAGAAACCCAGAGTTCTGAAATATTTCTGGTGCCTGGCATTTTGAATAAGGGATAGTCATTTGTGCCTCCTGGTTGCTTTTCCTAGTATTTATGTTTGAATTACTTTATTTTATAAATAGCAGTTCACAGCAACTTTAATTTTAAAAGAACAAATTCAACTTTATAAAGCAGTAAGCATATTTTTGAGTTTTTAGTTTTATGTGTATAAACGTTTTCTGTATATGTGTGTGTACACGTACCCAGTGCCCACTGAGGTTAGTTAGAGAGTGTCTGATCCTC